TTGTATTTGACTAGATTCGACTCGTTTGGAGGCTGATTTGAAATGAAAAGCTATTTTATAAGGTTGAAGACTACTATATAAAGTTAAGTCTTTTTGTCTATCCTTGTAAGAGGGAATTCTCCTCATATATGATCTATTTGTTATTTGTTGCTTGATTTAGGAGCCACGTATATGTGAAGTGATGAGCGTATATGTGTATCGAGGTTATGGCCATATCCAATAAATGATAGGCTTATAATTATGCCTTGTTTAGACTATGTGGGTTTCTTATTCACATTTTATCTATGACAATGTGATGACTTGACATTGTGGCTTAGAAGTATGCCTAGGGTTATCACTTATGAATTAAGAATAAATGATTATTTTGCCACATTGAGCTTCTTTGTCGAGTTGTAGTCATATACTTATCTTATTGATTTATAATTTGGTGGTTAAATGGCTTATTTAATTCATGTCGAATACTATGATAAAACTTTTGAACAATGAAATTGCTTATTGAATTGTTGAGATAACTGAATTATATGATTGGCTATAGCCATCTTTTCTCCTTGTGTGCTTTTATCCGTATTTCTATTATTATGATTCGGTGCCTTTAACTATAGTGTCTCATACATATATCTATAAGTTTGAAAGCTGAATATTGTGGAAAGATAAGAATTTTGGTACCACAGATATTATGAGCGAATATTGGTTATTGAAGATGTTATGTGGATCTGGTAGCATACCGCCACAGGTATTAGATGTGGATTGGATGGCATGACATCATGGATATTTATATGAATTGGGTGGAATGCTGTCACAGGAATATTTCTGGATCGAGTTGCCCGCTGCAACGGCGTTTGGATTTGGTACCATTCGTCTAGAGTCATATAATTACACATGTTACTTTGGGCCCTAAAAACATATGTTACTCAAATTTGTATTGATTTAGGCACTCTGTTAGTGTTGGGTTTATGCAGATATGCAGTGAGAATTGATATTGGATTGTGCGCGTGCATTGGTAGCTTAAACTAATGCAGCGGCTCCTATTTTACCTGATTGTTATTTGACTCGTATCATGATTATAAAAGATTTGAATATATGATGTTGTGTGCTATCTCTTGTTTGGAAAGCATGTTTACATACCAGCTTTATTGTGCTTCTGCTGGTAGACTTGATTGATAATATCATATTTTATTCCATATGTTGATTATGCCTCTTATGATAATTAAGCTGATAGTAGGTCCAACTATTGACCCCCTGCCACTACTTCTTCGAGGTTAGATTCGATACCTATTGAGTACAGTATTTTATACTCATACTATACTTCTGCATATTTTGTGCAGGTTCTGAGATTGATTTTGGTGGCATTCATCTAGCTGAGTAGGAGTGCTTATAGGAGACTTCGTGGTGAGCTGCTTACTTGATTTGATCTGCAGCACATAGAGTTATCCTTCCCTTCTCTTATATATGTCTTTGTATCTTTGTTATTTTCGGACGAACTTTATATTCAGTAAACATCTTGTATCCTTATTAGATTCTTGTGACTAGTTGTGATACTTGGGTTTTGGAAGAGTTGTTGAGACAGTTGTGGTCATGTGTAGACCATGTCTGAGATTTATGCACATTTGATATTTGAGTTATATGATACTTTGCTTTTGCTTATATGTTATGAATCAGTTAACGGCTTAATAACTGAATTCTGTTGTTGATGTGAGAGTTGGCTTGCCTACCAAGTGTGTTAGGTACCATAACGGCTTTTGGTGGGATTTTGGGTCGTGACAGCTAGTGTGCATAGAAATATTTGGAGCAATGGAACAAGGTTTTCTCTCTTATTCTCTCAAAGAGGCTGCTCTCTCAAACCTCTCTTATGTGCTAAAGTCTTTCAAAAACTAATAACAATGAGCCTGAAATAATATAATTCTCTGATGGCTGCTCTATTTGTAAGCAATGAATGACACTTTCTTTAAAGCAAAAATCAATTCTAAATAGGAATCAAAACTAATTAAAAATAAAAACCAAATATCAAAAAGAATTGAATTAGGTCATGGGACCTTTGGCTGGACAATAGGGAACAACCCAACATCAAGAGGCGTATACAAGAGTTGAATTTGACCGGTTCGAGTTCAGAATTCCATCATATACCATTTCATATTTTAAATTTGAAGTTTATTTTTTATACTTATTTTGTGAGTTTTTAAATAAATAGAAAATCTAAATTAAAGTTACCAGTTAGATGAACTCATAACATATTCGCTATGTGTCACTTCATTCGCAGGATTTTATCAAAGGGGGTATAGGTATAAATAACAAGAGAAGCTGGCACCATCTTTTCAGTTTGATGGACTCAAATTTAGGATCCGACATGTAAATCGAGCAAATTTTGTATGTGCTGGACCACATGCAGGACCCATGAAGCGAAGCTATTCCAAGGTTTATAATGTGATGCATTAAAGTTCTGTCTTTTATACTGGTTTTGTGATTTACTCTATAAATTAGGTTGTCAATGTAAAATTAATGGTTTGGCGTTAAGATTTTGTTGTTTTGTTTGGATAAGGTTTGCGCGCGCTCGGGGAAATTAAACTTATTTTGTCTTGCGCTTCTTGCTTTTTACTAGCAAATTAGAGGGACAATTCTTTATAAAGTGAAAAATAGAGTTCTTCCTTATTAATGAGGAACACTTTTTGAGATATCCATTAGTTTATCCAACAAATACTAGAAGTTATTATCTATAAATTGAAATAGAAATCCGTTGTGGAGGTAAAAGATTTTCAGTGATTGTGAAAGTGATGAATATGCATTGGCAGAAAAGAAGGTTAGGCGAAAAAAACTATATAAAGAGACAAATTGTGTTAAAGACATAGTTAATTATATAATAGTGTGCATTCTCTAACAACTTAAATTTTCAGATGAGATGGACATACAATTCAATATAATATCAAAGTAGACAGATGTGTCATTGTAACCTATTATTAAAAGAATTCCCACGTCCAATTGGCTCTTGAAGAAAAATCAGGCCAGTGTGTGAGTGAACTTATTGAGGACATAATTTAAGTAAATAAAAGTGAAGCTTTTTAAAATAATTTTAAACTTTTAGATGAGATAGTCACCGAATAAATGATAAAAAATAAAGCCTAAAAAAGAAGGAGAGAGATATACAAAGATCTGTAATCATGCTTATTTATACTGAACAATGTTATTATTAGTAACAAATTAATGAGAAAAAACAGTTGCTTTGAAAATGACATGAAAAGAAGAGTAAGAAATTCAACTCTCAATCAGCTCAATGTGCAGAGGAAAGGAGGCAAAAATCTGGTTACATGTGTTGTTAAATTTCGTCGAAGGTTCAAAGTTTGTGTAGTTACTAAGAAAACATTGAAGTGAACCTCTACTTCAGCTCTCCTGAGAGAATCTTTTACCTATTTGAAGATCCCATGATGAGACACAAAAGACAAACCAACTCATAATTACTACACAGGAAATAAGTGGAGTATATATATGTCAATTGCACATATTTTTTGGAATTAAATCTTTATATATGTCAGGGATATCACTTGTACATACAATAGTAGTCTTTTAAAACTTATTATAGTTGGTAAACTGCAATATTTGACATGTTATTTATCTTCGGTCTTCGTCAAAATCTGTACTTTTACAATAATAATAATATTTTTAATAATACTTGGTCTGAACCCATAGGAGCCGTTTGGTTGGTCTTTGAACGAATTTAATCCTCGCCCAAAAACCAAAATAGTATGAATAATTTTTAATACAACAAAATTAAAGCATTCGAAAAGAATTAATTCCTAATAACTAGTCTATGCATTACGATTCCTCCATAACTAATACCCAAACCAGACAACCCCATATTGTGGCTTATAGGAAATCTCAAAAATAAACATATAACCCTACGTACAAAGACTGTCCACACACAAGGGTATTCATTCACTCACCTACCAACCTCCACATGAGAATAAACATCATCAAAATTCTCTTTACAAAGTTAAGAAAATGAAAAGAGTACTACTAGAAAAAATAATATTCTTAACACAAAAGTCAGTCACAACGTGCATAAATTTGATATAGCAAAAATTTTGCGACGTACATATTCGTAATAAATATACCAACATAAATCTGTAATTGTCTTGGCGTGAAAGGCCATGAAATAAAGATTGATGTGGAATTGTTCATTCAAGTCCTTAATTGTATATAGTGATTAGTGGACCCTCACCACATAATAAAAACTTGATCAAAAATAGCCTCCATGCAGGAGATAGCTTGACTCGTGGACCTCTTATACCCTTAACAGTATATTCATCAATGGAAATAGCAATCAGTTTCACCTCTTTTTTTACCCCAAGGAAGTAGCAGACAACTTTTTTTTTATTTTTACCCAGCCTTCTTTTTTTTACTGCCACTTTCCAGGAAAAAATATCAAAGTACCAGACAAAAGAGAAATAATGCATACACTAGAAATGGTAATACACCTGCATGAGCTTGCCTGCCATGTCCAGCTCTTGTAACCAAAAAGAAAGTGTCCCTTTCTCTTGGAAACACGTTGAGTTAATTTCTCTTGGAAAACAATATCCAACTATGAATTAGTCGGGTCAATCTTATTTTTAGTTTTATGACTCTATCCTTTTTTATATTTGGGAGATTTACTTCTACACATAAAAGATCTGTCTTTTATACTTAAGAGATCTAAAAAGGTTATTTTCTTAAATTATAAATTGTAAAAGAACATGTTGTACAGATAGCACAAATGTATTCCAAATAGACGAATGATCGATTTAATATATAGGCGCTTAAAAAATTAAAAATGTTTTAACATTATCAGTACTGTAATTGTTACTTGTTATAGTAGGTTATCTTCTTTATTTTCTAAATAAATGGTTCTAGTATTTATTATAAGCATTTAGTTATGCTTATCTTTTACAGACCTGATAGTAATAAAATTCATTTAAACTATCAGCATATAGAAGTTAAACTAGGTTTAGACAAATAGATATAGAATTCCAAAGTACAAATTGGGAAAACCAATTTCAATCCTTTCCCATTTTCAAGATTAATATGTTTCTACAAGTGACAATACAAAGCAGTCCCCCTATACTAAAACTCAAATCCCAATCTTTTGTGAACGAGATTGGAATTAATGTGTTAACATCATTATAATACTAAAAGATATTGGAATTAATAGAAAGTGGGACAAAATATAAGGGGTTAACATAATTCTAATACTTCAATCATTCATTTTAACCTATTAAATAGTAGTAATTAGTACTAATACTTGGTAGTGGTAGTAGCCATTAGAGCTTGAAATCAGAAGTAAAAGGAAGCAGATCATGGAGTCACCCATTGGAGAAGAAAAGTCATGAACTTGTCAATGATGAAATAATGTTGTAGCAGGCTAGCAGCAGCAGCATTTTTGCTATGGTCTTTGCCTAAAACAATCCAGTGAGATTCTTGGTGGTGAAATTGCCACTGTCACTGATGAAGAATGAGCTCCTGAATCTGGTGGAGACCCTAAAAATCAAATCAGAATAGCAAAATCAGCTTACTTATAAGGTAATTTTATATATATATATATATATATATGTTAAAAAATCTAATAACCTGATAAAAATGGTAACTAACATATTATGACAGGTTAAACAACATTAATAATCTGTAAGCTTTAGTATATACTCATAACTTAAATTCGTAGTAAGAAAATTTCAAAATATCAAGTATCATGTTGTAATTTCTTTCCTAATTCCTTTTTAATGAAGGAGATTAATAACCAAAAACTTACTTGCAAGACTGTCGGATGAGGAATTTCTGGTACTGTCAAGTTGAGACTTATTGCTGTTTTCTATGTTTGCTTGTTGATTTTTTCTCCTCCTTCTGTTATGATCTGCCAAACGTTTCCTGCAACTTCTCTTCCCGTTATCAAATTCCGACAGCAGGTGGAACCTGTGTTTTTAAAAAAATTTCAAGAATATTATTATTATTAATAATAATAATAAATCATACTAAAATGCAACAGTAAGGGAATTTTAAAATAGAGAATCGTACTAAGGTCATTCGTGTGTTGATTATAAGCTGATGAGTGTTTAATTCAGTAACCAAAATGGAAAAAGCTGTATTTCCTATAAGTAGCAAAAATAAACAAGTACGTAATACGGGAAAACGGGGTAGCAAACTCATGGGGGAACATAATTCTAAGGACTGAAATGCCCTCGGGATCAACCCCCTTGTACGACTTTTCAACTTCTAAAACTCCAATCATTTGCTCCTAAACACACCCCAAGTGCATTTTCGTCATATTATCATTTTCCTCCCGTTCGAACAACATTTTCTGTTCATCTTGTTATTGGAATGTCAAACATACTTTGGGATTGAATTACATTCCTCAGTCTCATTTTATGTGAACAGTTTTGGAGTACCAAAGTCAAGACACTTGATTGTGGAGCAAAAATTCTTCAATTTTTTTAAAATAAAATTTATATATTACGGGGGAAAATTACTACTAACATAGTTAAATATA